TACAATAATTTTACTACATCTTTGAATAAATCAAGTGATTGATAATAAGACAAAATTTATTTTTTTGTAACCATGATATTTACAATAAAAAAAGAAAAGCATTGAAGATGTACCATAAATCTAATTAATTTGAGGTAATTATTGAAATAATTTTTCCAAGATTTAATTTAGAATTTGTGTTATCATGCAAGTTCTGCATACTGAGCATGCAGAACAATAAAATGCATTAGCAATTGAATTATTTAACATATATTTTGATCTATCTTGTTTGGACTTGATCCAAATATAATTAATGATTTTCATTACACATCTGTCTTTATTCAACATTTCAACAGTTGAATAAAGGGAAAGAAGTTTAGAATCAACGAAGTTCTTTATTAAATCTAGCTACGCTTATAATAATGATTCAACCTCTTTTGCTTTGTTAATACTATATGTGACAAAATTGATTATTATGTCAAGCAATCTAATATTATTATATGTAATATGTAGTATTTTGAAAATAAATCAGAACTGTTGTGTGTTGATTGTTTTATTAATAAATCTTTCTATATCATACAACTATAATTTCATATGTGAATGAAATATAAAAATTATATACATTATATAATGTTATGTTATATTATTATATACATCTTATGTCATGTTATTTCATATTTTAAACTTACAAATTTGAAACAGATTAAATTTATATTAATAGGAATGAAATGAAAATTATATATGATATATAATCAAGAAAAATTCATTTTCTGTAATATTAACTTAAAAAAAATAAAACATGCACAAATTATCATGAAAAATCAAAATAAAATTTTTAAAACATTCAGGTAAATCCTATAAATTAAAATTTTATTTTGGAATAATGCATCAAAATAATTTTAAGATTTCACATGTTTGACATATTATTATTACATTATTGAAGAAAAAAAATCATCGAATGGCTCTGAATTCTTTATTTTGTCTATTTTATTTTATTATATATTTTTTTTCACAATTTTTAAATATTTATTCAAATATTATGAGAATTAAACATTTTTTACAATTTGTTTTTAAAAATGAAAATAATCTCAATATTCACTTTGAGAAAAATATATAATTGGATTATTATAATTATAAGTCAGTAGTTCAAGATTTTATAATGGAATTTTTTTTCTGTTTTGAAAGTTTTTTTCTACATGTTTACTTTATTTATGCTCCAATTTTTTCAACTAAAAAATAATATTGTCAATTTTATTAATTGAAAATTCAACACCATAATTTTTTTAATAAAAATAAAAAATATTTATAATGCATATATTTTATATATTATTAATAAAAGTAAATTTTTTTTTAAATCTAGGTTTTGGATATATTGAATTTTGAAGTAGTTGATCATAAAAAATTTATGATTTAGAAGTTTGAAGGTTTTGATCATTCAAAATTGATTTTAAATTCTAGCGGAATGAAATTATACATTGATGATAAATTTATTGGTATTTAGGACAAAAAATTACTGTTGGAATCTTTAAAAATTCAGATTGACGTCTTTTATAATATTTTCGTCTAGAAATTATTGTATGCATTAATTTTAATTTTATGTATTGTACCTTTTTACTCTTAAAATATCCGAACTGGGTTTTGACTATATTTAATCAACAGGCATTCAGATTTTATACATTACATTTCGATTCTATGAAATATTTTCACACATATAGATGAAATTTTTTTTATATATATTTATTTAAAAAAAATTGTATGTTGATGCAAATTGCAGTTTCAAATCATGATGTATTTGCAGTTTTTTTTTGATGTTTTTAAAATATATTCTGACTTTTTTACATGATACATTTAAGGCTATAATCTGTATAATATATATAGACCAAAGCAATAAAGGAAGAATTAGATCAAGAAAGAGCGAATCACGCGAGGCTCAAATTTGTTGTCACCAACAATGGATGATCTTTCAGTCATCAAATCCTTCTGTACATGTTCGTCTTTAACAGAAGTTGCAATCACAGGACCTAAGTTGTTCGATGATTTTTTGGCATAATGGTAGTCCAGACATTGGGAAGCCAACTTTTATCGATTTTCATCTCCATCTTGGGGAGCAGCGAACGTGGAAGCATCAAGATAATGGCTGAAAGAAGAGATAAGTCGAGCTGAATTCCTTGTTTCGTTTCAGCATCGGGTTTGGACTTGATTTATTTCTTCTGTTGGTCATGTAATTAATTACCAGGGTCCATAGGGTAGACCCCAGTTCTGCCTCCGAGCTCGAGAAACGACCACACCAGGATGAGAATGACCATCTCTCCCTAACCTCGAATCAGATTCAATGTGCAGCTAAGCCTTAGCTGCACATTTACATTGTGCCCTTAGCTGCTAAGGGCACAATGTAAATGATACGTATTCGATGCAAGGTCGCCGATAATGTCTTGTTGTTCATGATATCTCCATCTGTGTCTTTCAGATCCGTAGTGAAGAAATTTGAGGCGAACAAAAGATAATCAGACCAACGAGGATATGGTCATCCGGCTATGCTACGAGGGCTGCCCGGCCCTAGCCATCTCTCAGGCTGTCCAATTACCAGGTCCCGACCAGTTAAAATGCCCGGGCACATGATATGTACACAATGTACATCAACTCTGGTACAGCTCGTCCCTCCCTCCCTCCCTCCCTCTCTCGCTCCCTCGCTCTGTCTCCTCTGTTTGCTTTTACAAATTAAAGCCTGCGCCATCCTAACCTGGCCATGAGCCCATGGGCCATGACAGCTAACAGCAACTGGACGAGTCTCTCTTCTCTTAGATTTGTGGTACAATGGCCAGAAAATACGAGGAAAAGGGTGCTCCCTGCAGCTTCCGAGCCACAAACTTGTCTGCACCCCATCCTTTTCGTTTATCGGACTCGCGAGCTTTCCACGCCTCGCAATCATCCGATATAAATAAGTCCCCCTCCTCGCGCTGCCCTCCTTTTGCCCCCGTTCAGCTTAGCCTTCGGATTAAGCCCTGCCCCCTCCCTCCTCCCTCCCATCTTCCAGGTCGGTCGGTTGCCCCTCTCTGCCAGCTAACGGCAACTAGCCCAGCCCCCGACCACTCTCAGGGTTCGGCGAGGCCTGGGACGGTCAAGCTACTCGAGCTCTGAGCGGCCCGATCGGGCGTAAAACAAAGCGAGCAGTAGCACACTCCTCCCATGAGGCGGGGCTTGTCTTATACGATTTGGCTCTCGGACAGGGCTTATCATAGTTTGCAGGTCCGGCCGCGCGTCTCTTACATCTCGCGATCATTACAGAAATAGCGAGTGCCAGCAGTCGCCTCGCCCGATGGTCCCCGAGACGCAAGGTTTGGCCGTGTTGATTCGCATTCCCCTCGCCATCGCTCTCTTTTACCGCGGCCGTCGTCGGTCGGTCGGCATGGCATGGATCCCATGCCAGCTGACGGCGACCGGCCTCGGTTCCTAGACTGGCGACGTACCGAAAGCAGAGGGGCGATTATAAATATGTGAGTCCGGAGTTAATACAGCTCTACGCATGCAGCCGGAGCCACCAGTCTAGTGCGGGAGGGGGAGGGGGAGGGGAGGGCATGGTTTTCTGAGGCCTAATCCGCATTATATTATACAGGGATCCAAGCAGTGGATCGAAGGGGAGGTCCTTGAAACATGGAGTCGTCCGTCCCGTCGCTGCTGGAGCTAGGAGCTCCGTAGGCCATAATGCGGAGGGGGGCACGGAGTATAGTCACTACGGGGTAGCATATGAGCACTGAGCGATCTAGTTGATCCATGGCATGCAATGAATATTATTAGCGCTGGCTCACAAGAATCACGTTGCGATCCCAGAGTTCGATTCAAAGCTTTCAAATATATTCTCACGGCCACTGGATCTGGAGTTCAAACGGTGGATATAAAGGGGGCGAGCCATAAAGTGCGCACATCATTCTGCGAGAAATCGAGCGTTGCTGCGACGGAAAATACTCATGGTAAGTAAGTGGTACTCGGCCGTGGCTTTACTGCGCCCCTTTGCTCTCACGAGTGACGCAATCAATCCAAGGCTTCAGAAAACGGAGGGACGGAGGCATCTTATCTACAATGATGTAAGGCAAATAAGCGGAGCCGGACCCAGGGCCAGGACATGGAATGGGCTCCGGACTTTCGGGTACTAGAAATCCATGTTTGGCCGAGCCTGGAAGATGCAGAGGCTCGTCCCCCTCAGCTACATTCAAGAGCTTGATGTTTTGTGGTCCCGAGCAGCGGTTGCACCTTCGCAGTGTCTGCCTGTGGACCAGCGCGTTCATTCTCTTCTTCAGCTTTCCACATTGCCGAGTCTTCTGATCTTCCGAGGCCCGATTCGCGAACTTTGCTGCGAGTCCTCGGGCCTCCATGTGGTCCCCGGACCCTGCAAATCCCTGGGGTTTGGACGACCACGAGCAACTGGATGAATGACTGAATGACTCGAGTCATGCGAGTCCACTACATTTCGATTTTACCTCCTCTGCTCTCGGGAGGAGCCTCACTTCTTACACCCTGTGATGTAAGACCATCATACCATGATTTGACTTCGAAGGGGCTTTCGAGTCGAATGATGGAGCGGTGGCATGAGATGATGAAAAGCATGATTGTGTGATTGTCTGCTTCAGTTCTATCGCCTGCATCACAAACGTATGAAGTGATCTCTCGAATGTAGGACCGTCTTCTCAAAAGTTCAGACACTGCATGGGATCGGAGCTCAGATAGCATCGCTCATTGTGGTCCCGACTGAGAATATCGCCACATTTCAACACCTGGGATTGAATAAGCGCATGGCAGTGCAAACGTTTCTGCTTTGGGGCCGATCCCTTGTGTGGTCCCTGCTACCACAGTAGTCACTCCAACTCGAACAAGAGGTTCGCATGTGGTCCCAAGTACCAGGTTTCAAGCTCGGTCAGGTCAGGCTGAAGTTGGACCACTTCCAAAAGCATCACTACAAGTACTAGCATCAACACACGAACCGAGTTTTCGTGTATAATTGGAAGGAAGTTTTGGCGTGCTGCAAAATGCCCTTCTCGAGTAGGATTCGCTCTCTGGATATGGTCTGCGTTGTGGATGTATACGGTGATAAATTGCATGGCCTTTTATTACAGCTGCAACAAGGGCTGGAGATCTCTACTCATAACTATTCTTGCAAATCACCTAGTGTTGTCGATCGTCATAAGTGTTTACGGATAGGTTTTTCTACATTCAGCAGGACGACTGAAAGCATTTGTAAGTCAATGATTGTGCCAAAGGCAAATAATCAGAAAGTTTTGCGAGTGACGAACTGTATTCGCATGATAGCCCGAATAATTTTTCATGTGAACTCTTGTTGTATTGTAATTACATTAGTGGGCATCTGTTAATCGCTGCTAATCGTATGTATGCAAGGTTACGACAAGCAGGCAGTTATAAGCATCAGCTGGACCTTGCTACGTAGCGATTGCATAAGATATACGTCGAACAAAAACGAATGTGGTGACAAGACCATGGACATCTGTTTGTGACAATCGTTGCCAATATAGAGGGAGAGCTTACACCCTTGACTGTTAGCAGTGCCTGGGAACACGCACGCATGTACACTTACCATGTAGTTTTAATATATCACTGCAAATCCTGAAGTGGTAAACTGAGTGCCCCTGGCTTCGTGCTTATCCATGGATGGAGTCCTCCAAAGTGTCCTCCAAAGTTTAGATTTTGCATGAAGTGTGACGAAGAGGCATTCCTTGCAGAAGTTATGAGATTTCCACCATGATGTCATGAATCTCCAACCCCACCAATACTCTGCATATATCTCGAACTAGACCAAAAGCAGATACGAACCATTCCAGACTCGACTGGATGCTGCAAGGTAACAACAGTAGCACCTTCTACAAGCACCGACGGAAATCAAAACCAGCCCCATGGCGCTAGTGGGAGGAGGATGGCATTCTGTCAAAGCCCAAAATAAGAGCAGCCGTGGTCGAGAGATCGAGAGATTGGGGGGAGATCCATGCGAAAGTCAAAGGCAGGCAGCCAACTTTGCAGAGTGTTCGTTCCACCTGAGCCAAAGCAAAGTCTCGACGGTCGCCCTCCTTTGCAGGGGGCAGGGGGCAGGGGGCAGCGGCAGGGGTAGCCTCTTTTCTGGGGGTAAGATATTTTCTCACGGTGTGCGATACATGGGGGCGATAAAGCTGTCCAAATCCTCACTGGAAGACTAAGTGTTGCCTAGGTTATGGCTCACGTCGCCAGCCCAAGCCTGGCCTGGCGACGGATGCCTTGCCTTGCTTTCGTAGGGAGGGTAGACGGAAAGGAAGCCCGTCCTGCTTTTCACCTGGCCAGCTCGAGTCGCTCCATAAAGACAGCATGAGTTGGTCCCGAGCTTCCCAGAATGTCAACACGAACAACGGCTGACGAAGAGGAGGAGCAAAGCTTCGGTCTCACCATCGATCCAGACACATTTGCAGCGATGGTGGAGGTGAGGTGCGAGCTGCCTTGACGGTCTCGGAGGTGCTGCTGCAGCATCACGCCTATGGTTGCTGGATTTATGACCATATCCAGGGGTTGTTGAATCTACTTCCAAAGCACATGATCTGGCAATCATATTTGAGGGCGAGTCGAGTCCTGGGTGCTCACAATGCCACCAGACACAAGTGCTGGCAAGGCGGAGAATGTTCAGTACTTTCAGGGTTCGCGTTCTTTTCCACTCGCTGCAAAAATTTATATTCTCTTCCGACTCTTTCCGGCTCTTTCGATCGAACGAGGTCCGTCATTGCGAGCATTGCGAGGCATAGTAACTCTTTCTCCATGAGGTATCCAACGATTGTGACTTCCTGACGATGAGACAGCAACCGCTTCTCATCTGAAGCAAGTGCTGGGGCCGGGCCACCCAAACCAACAACAGCAACAACGAGGGAAAAAGCGACACACAAAATCACGGTTCTGATCTCAGTACATGTTCAACAAATAATTAAATAGTTTTAGGGTAGATCTGATGTAAGCCTCTTCACCAATCATAATCGACACCATGCTTGAGATCTGGAGAAACCCTGGCAGGAAGTGACTTAAGTAGCAAAGTGATAGCCATGCGATGAAGAAAAATTAGGGAAATCTGGCCCACGTTATTCCAACCGTCCATGTGGAAGTCATATCTGCATACTGATGGTTTGGTCGGTAACAAAGCAATTCAAAGCACCTGCAGGTTGAATGAGTACTCAAGGTGTAGGCGGAATAGTTTAGTTGATCAAGTCCACATATTCTTATGATTCTTAGGATAGCCATCATCCGTGACAACTTGACAAAATGATGACTTGATTTTCTCGCTTTGGACTTAGTCTGAGAGCCAACTAACCCCAGAAAAAGCGATTTTTTTATCGACAAAAACAGGCAAATTAATCATTGCTAAAGACCTCATTCAGGCCCCCTGACAGAGGAAAACCGAGTTCTTCCCCGAACCCTCGAGTGGTTCTAGCACTCTATCTAAAAAAGCTGAAGCTCAGAAACCCAACAACTAGTAGCGATCCCAGAAAAGCAAGCTTTCTCGTTGGCAAGATGACAAGACGAGCCCCCCCTCTGATAAGGGAAGGGTGAGGTGGTAGATGGTTAAAAAGAGTATTATAACCTCGAGGGCTTACTTTTAGATTAGTCAAATCAATACTCTGGTTCATCATAGGATGCTTTTCGGTCCTCTGACTCGAAGCGATCGAGTACGAGTAAACTTACTCACCTTCATCATCCTTTATATTTACGCAATGATTCCATGGGATCCAAAATGTGGATAGAATTATCATTCCACGACGAGTACTTAGATGGTGTTTTTTCTTTTTTCTTTTTTTGTTATAAAATTTGTAAAGTGCACAGGTCGTATCTTGCGTTGTTTGATCTCATTCGCACTCCGGGACATTTTCTACTCGTCTGACTTGCAACAGAAGAAGGAACCCGAGAGAAAAAGTGCTATTATGCATTCAACCTCAAGATAGATATGTGGCGGAGCATCGAGTGCCGCTAGAGCTGATCAAAAGGGTTTAGGAGTTGAATGTAGGTCAAGATCTGCTGAATGATGTGCGAAGATAGTGAGGAATGCGATGATGTATGTTGCCCAGCTTTGGACGACTCTTCACATCCCTCGGATCCATGCGCCGTGAGGCCACGTAGCGAGCCATAGGACGACGACGACGAGCAGCAGGATCACGATTTGATCTCGTCGCAGCTTTCATGCCATTTTGGGGAGCGGTTTTTCTGTTCTTCCTGCCTCCCTCCCTCTCGGCTTTGGGTGCAGATCTTCTGGGGATCTCTCATGGTGAATTTCAAGGTAGGGGAAGGGAAGGGAAGGGAGGAGGACGGCCAAATCTAACAAAAGATACAAACAAAATTCGGAGCTAGAAAGGGGATGAGCTGAAATGCTCTAATTGGAGAGCGTGAAAGCAGAAGAAGCAGCAGCAGCTCTCGCTTCCATGGACGACATTGGAAGGGAGTGAGTGACGAGTCTAGCTTTTGAACGACTCTTCACATCCCGGAGATCTGCGATGGTTGGTCGGTTGGCCATATCTCACAGACGAATCCAGCCGAAGCGTTCCGGGCATACACATACACATACATAGCTCAGGCTCAGGCTCAGGCTCAGGGCCTCAAGAGGAAGGGGCCTAGCTGTGGACGAGAACGAATGAGGAGCATGACATTCAGTCATCCGTTGGCGCTGGCATGTTGGAAAGCAGAGCAGATTCATGTCGATGCGATGCGCAAGGAATGCGTGTGCAGCGGAGCAACTCGAGTGAGTGAGTGAAGCTTTTGGGCTCGAGATGCAAACTTTGTTTCATTTGAGAGCCCCCCCACCTCCCCTGCCCTCGGCGATCCGTTGGGTCGTAGACCTCATCATGAGAACAGGAAGTTGACCGCTTTAGTTTCGATGGTCGGGCGATGAGCTGGGATGGAAAACAAATGTCATTATAGATTTCCGGGTAATCATGGCGCTCAATAATTATTTAACGCTACCTGCGTATATTTTTTGAAACTTAGCAGCAGGCTCAGATCCTCGGGAGAGCAGAAATTCATTTCCCTGCTCATGATGCCTCCCCCCCTCCCTTGCCGAGCTGCTGCTGCATCATAACATGTCGCAGTCTGGGCCAATGCCTTAGTTTAGTCGCGCTCCGGAATTTATTTTAATCTTGTTTTCTTTTGTTTTCTTTGCGGTTCCATGCATCCTCCTGACGAACCATCACGGAAGCGTCTTGCGTGACGCCGGCCAATTATTGCCTTCTGCTGCGCATCGAGAGTGGCCCTCGCGAGTCCGCATTGCAAGTCCAACCAATTCTCGGACCAGTTGCTGCACGGACGTCTCCCCTCGAAGCTTTATCTGAATTGAAATGTGCGAGATCCACACCTCGCCCTCTGAACGCATTCTGAACAAATTGAGGAATGCTCATCGAGCAAGAGGAGGTCGACTGCTGCCATTCACGAGCCGGATGGATGAAAGTGGGTGGAAAGCGTTACAGGCGGATCGGAAAGAGCAGACGATTCATGTCGTGTCGGGAGGTTTCGGTTCCCGAGACGCTAAAACATCATCAGGTCGCGAGCGAGCCTGATGATACCGAAGCGATGCGCGTCTCTCTCTGAGCGTCTACTTAAATTAGAAGCTTCAGAATATGTCGAGATCATCATATCGTTTGTATTTATCGAAGGCGAGTTGCCACCGGGAGCCCGCAGATCTGCAACATTCGGATCGATGCACATTCGAATGGCACCGTCCCCCTTTCCCAGGTTAGCCCAAACAACAAATGATTACAACTAACTCGCAATCGCGGAACCAGGCCACAGCTCGATGACGAGATTCAGCGAGGAATCTCGGGGCGAGACGGAGCCGGGGGGGACGGACGTCGCCGTCGCCACAAAGTTAACAGAAGCTCCAAAGCAAAAGCATATAGGCCCCGACGAGCGATGGAAAATGTGGACATTCTTTTTCGATCGCCGGGGGATCGCCTTGGGCTGCAAAAAAGTGGAGCCCTAAACTTGGCAAGTGCAAGTGCATGGCATGGATGGATGCGGATTCTGTGCGCTCCGTAGCCTTTTGGGCCCGAATGCGCTACTGCCTAGTGCCTAGAAGCGCTTGAAAAGTCGCCACCCTGCGAGCCCCGCCAAAGCCCCGAGGTGAAAAATAGACCCCCCAAAAGAGCCCCCCTCGCACTTCCCCAAAAAGCCACGAGGGAAGTACAGCCCCCTGTACCGCAGCCAGCCAGCCAGCCAGACCGATAGACTTGCTCTCTCGCTGGCCATGGGGCGAAGCTCAAGTGGCACCGCGGCGAACTGCTGGCCCCTCCCTTCCCCTTCCCCTTTTCCCCGCCTTGCTAAAACCGGAGGAGGAGGAGGAGGGGGAGCAGGGGGGCTGGGGCTGGGGGAAGGAGGGAGGGAGGGACTCGGGGGGGGAAGAGGAACGAGAAGCGGGGGAAAATTAACGCTCGGAAAACTCGATGATTTATGAACGAGCTCGAGATCCTTTCACGAGGTCCTCGCGCTGTACTTGGGACCTTGACTCGCTCATTAAAAGATCGTTGAAGGTTGACTGGTTCATGTGACGGGCGGCCGGAGGGCGAATTGAAGGGGACACAGGGGGAACGACGACGAAGGGGAGGCTGCGCTTGGGCTTGGGCTTGGGCTCGGACTCGCCCCTCCGATCGCTCCGTATACATGGACGGTAGAAGGGCCGAACGTTTTCCATCAGTGTCATGACTGAGCCACTTCTCTAATGAATGACAAAAATCTAGTCGCCGATTGCCATTGGCCCAGCCCCCGGAATTAATATAATGGCTCATTATTTAATCCGTCGGAGCCAGACACATGTTTTTCTCGTTCCCCTGCATGCCTACGATCTCTCCGTCTGCAGCATCGTGTCCATCCATCTGCTTCTGGGCCTTCTCCCCCCCCCTCCCCTCCTGCTGGCTCTAGCTTGTTTCGGGCCCTTGTGGGGGACCTTATACCGGTAGAAAGATTCCTACGATCTAGGCACAAGCCCAGCCCAGGCCCAGACCCGGGCCCTTGACGTTCCAGTGGGCTTCTGGCCACGACCGCTACGACGTACTCGGATTTTGGCCCATTGCGGGCGGGCGGGCGAAGTCGGCGTTGCCACCCGCTCCTGGGCCTCTAGCACTTACGTGGTTGCAGAGGTCGACTCGGTTCTCTCAGGCCCAGTGAAAGTTGGTCACCCGTGGTCCCACGGGATCGGCGAGCCGGCGCCGAAGGTTGACGTCGTTGGCAGTTACAGTGGGCGAGATTCCGGGGCTGGGGCTGGGGCTGGGGCTGGGGCTGGAATCGGGATCCCGTCGGGGGTAACGTGGAGGGGGGCGGGCGGCCGGTCGAGGGCAGGCGATCATCCACTTCAGCTTTTGGGGTGCTCTGCGGGACGACGTGACACGTGCTTCTGCCCACACTATCCCCCAGCTTTCTGCTCTGGACTGAGAGGGGGCGATGGCCGATGTCCGCTGGCAGCCGGCTCATCATTTCCTGGAACAGCTCGAGCCATTCGCCTCGCCGTCGCTTTGCCCCTGCGCATGCTAATCAACTCGCTAACCATGTCCGAACGCGCAGCAGCAGAGTCCACCCTCCCTTCCTCCCTTCCTCCCTTAATGCATGCGCTTACCTGCGTGGACATAATCGCAGCATAATCGGACGCTTCGATGCATGTCGTCGTCGAATCCCCACGCCGGTTTCCCAGTCATGCCAGATTATGGCCTCCGGCCGCTCATTGGCCTCACAAGCGTGCACAGCGTAGCCCCCGCTCTTCCCCTTCACGACACGAGCGACCCCCGCGGTCAAGACTCGGGGCGAGGGGGCTTTTAACCCCTCCCTCTTTCTCCATGGCTGCCGTCCTCGGGCTTCAGACTGTATGTACCTTGACCAGCGATGTGAAGGTCGAACCTCAATGTTAGCCCCAGCCCCGTTCCTCGTACGCCGACGTCGAGCAGGTCACGTCACCGTATGCCAACGAAGCCAAATACTTCGAGAGCTCCAGACAGTGCGAGTAACCACGTGAAGTCCCCAGAGCGCCACATGTGGCGAGCAGGAGAGCCCGAACTTGTGAACATCACGAGAAAAGAGCGAATGCAGAGGGATTCGAAGAGAACATAGAATGGCGACGGCGTCGATGATTGATTGAGGAGGAGCCGATCCGAGCAATGCAATGCAATGCAGGGCAGGGTCGACTAGTTCGCTAAGCGTAGGTGAGCTGGGCTGAGGCTCGCTTAGGTGAGCAAAGTGTAGTGGCAGGGCACAAGGCACGATGCTGGGCTGGGCTGGAGACTGAGCTTAGCTGAGCTGAGCTGAGCAAAAGGTAGTGGCAGGGCTCAGGGCACGGAGTTCGATGGAGCAGGTAATATGCAGCTCGGTTGAATTCCTCAGTTTCTTTACATGCCTGTACTGTGGTGATGCTCTCTCTCTCTCTCTCTCTCTCTCTCTCTGTCTTTGTGGTCAAGGCTCTCAGATACAACCTACAGTCTAGCAGTTCTGCTCCTACCATGGTCCAGCTGCACAACAACAACATCGTTGATCTCCTTCCACCGTTGGCCGACACTGCCAGGGAGGGCACTGGTGAAGTATTCTGGGCAATTTCGGGACAGAGCGAGAAAATAGTGCCCCCTCGTCGAATAAGAACACCGGAATGGACACTTTCCAATTCATTTCACGTGCTGTGGAGAACGGGGGCAGGGAAGCGGGAACGCCTAGTTTTCCACGGACGTCCCCCTCTAAGATCGAACACGATCACACGAACACGACGTCTTCTTAAATACGAGGACTGGATGGTGGAGAATGCCGAAGAAGACAAAACAAGGAGAGTGGCAAAGGTTGAGCCCCGATACTCTCTCGTAGACGAGTATCATGACCTACGACGTCGTCCCTTTGCTTATTTTACTCTCGAGTTCGGCTCTCGTAGAGGGAGGACATCGGCTGTCAGGATCTCAGCTCTTGCTTGCAGCAGGGGGAAGATAAAAGTAGAAAAGACGAAAAGGCCATTCACTTACAGGGGGCAGGGGGCAGGGGTTAGAAACTGTCACGAACCCCCGATAAGTTTTTAACCCGCGGATGAGGGGGCATCTTCCTGTCAGGGCCCCTTCCTCTTCTTGCGCTTGCGCTTATAAAGGCGCCGGAGGGGGCTGCCTTCCGCCGGTGGCACGGGAGCGGGTCCGTCAGCCGGGGAGGGGAAGGGGATAGGTCGAGTCGGACGGAGAGAGGGGGCAGGGGGGAGGCGAGTCAGCAAGGGGCTGGGGCGATGTTGGGGGGTAGGACAAAAGACAAACCACGTCGTCATCACTGACCGTGCCGGGGCGAATACGGACGGAGGGCATTATAACTTTTTTGGTCCACACCACGTAACGAACTGACGGAAGGCAGACGGACTGCGGGAGATGAACAGTTTTGCTTGCGCCTCGCGGGCCCGCAGTCGGAAGAGATTCCCGTGGTCGCAGAAGATTCTCGCGGTCGCAGAAAGGACAGTCATAATGACGCTGCGATAATTAATGTGACGGCCGTGACTGATCTTTACCCCTTCGGGCCTGATGGGTGACCGTCCCGGCGACCCCGGCCGGGCCCCCGTCGAGTCCCCCGACTGCCCCCGGACTGCCCCCAAATCGGGCCCCAAGCCCAAGCGCCCGCTAAGCGCGGCCGCCGGGGTTCGAGGTGCGGTTTAGCTGGGGTTAAAGGCGCGTGGTTATGGCAAAGCAGTGCATCATTGTGGCGAGTGACGACAGTCAACAGGACGCAGCGCGGACTTGATTGTGGTGAGTGACAGTCGGGCCCCTCGGCACAGTGCACTGGAGATTTCGGCGGCGGAGGCAAAAGCGATCGATCGTTTGGTCTTGATCCGATCATTCCGATGTTCTCGAGCCATGCTTGTGGATGGGTTTTGCCTGCATAAAAAATGGCCGCTGTCCACTTTGACAACACGAGCTGCGGCAGCAGCGGCACTGGCAGCAGCAGCAGCCGCTCAGCCTGCGAGCTCTGACAGGACGACGAGGAGGCCGTCGAGCAATTTCCTGCTTCGCTGGTGGTGCTCTCGCAGCAGCGGGCGTGGCTTTTTGAGTCAAGGAATGTCCCCGTCCCCTCGCCCCCGCCCTCTCGCCCTCTCGCCCTTCGCCTCATCTCTCCTCTCTCTATGTCGCCCCCCCTCGCCCTCCTCCTCCCCCACCACCCCCACCTCCACCTCCCGTCGGCGTCACCTGCAGCAGCAGCAGCAGCAGCGGGAGCTCGCCTCGCTCTCCTGCGCAGCAGCGCCGGGCTTCGGGTGTGGAACTGTTGTGATTTCCACGGGACGTGATTGGGCCTCCCGCGGCGGAATGATCGCTCTCGTGTAGCGCTGAGAATCGGTGGACGACCACGAATGCGCATCGACATGGAGATCTGCCGAGCGGTTCCACCCGCGGGGGGCTCCTCCTCCTCCTCCTCCTGCTGCTGCCGCTGTGGGTGCTTGCGCTGGAGCGCAGCCGAGAGGCGAGCTCGGGGCAGGCCTCAGCCCTCGGCCTAGCCAGACGCGAATCGAGCAGCGAATCGGAACCGGTGGTGGTGGTGGTGGTGGTGCGAGCCCGACCGAGCACGAGCACGAGCACCGCTGCAGTGGACGTCTGTCGTCCTAGTGTAGGCCTGCCTCGAGAGATTTCGAACCGGGGGGTCCAGAAGCAATCGCCTGCGCGTGGGATGGTGTCGTCGATCGAGGCAAAAGAGAGGAGAGGGCAGACGAGAGGTTCATGGAGGGTTTTGGAAAGCTTCCGCGACGTGAAGAGGAAGAGGTGACTATGAGCGCCTGCGCCTCGACGATTGGCGACTACTCATCGAACTGACGCAGTCTTGGGCGCTGGCTCGTACCTTCGATGATGCGGTCGTGGCGAGCGCATCAGCATCGGCTCGGGACGGGCGCCTGTAGAATGCGGTAGCGGCGGTCGTCGATTTCTCGGGCGCTTGATGATTGAGGAGCAATGTAGTCCTGCCGGAGGCCGTGGCGGCAATTTGCTTGAGCCCGGGCTGCTCTGCTCGGCTGCACTAGGCGGCCTGCGAGCTGATCGATGCGGTCGCGTCTGAGCTAGCTAGGTAGGACTCGAGGCTTATGGATGGGCGAGGAGATGATTTCGGCTTCTGAGATCGACCGCGGTTGGATTCTCACGAGGCCCGCCTCCGCGCAGGATTGGTGCTCCTCTCTGCACCACATTTTCCGCGCCGAGTGGCCCTCCGGCACCAAATTCTTCCCCAGCGTCTATGCTCTCGCGAGGCGCATGCCGTAGGCCGAGCCCCCGCTGCCACTTCTGCTGCGGCGCCTGAGCCCGACATGTGCGCTTTTGTTTCGTTTGTTCTGCTGGTGGATGATGCTGGTGCCTGCTCGTCCAGCAATGTGGCTCTGGCAGATCGCCTCGAGGAGCGCCCCGAGGTTTCATGCCCGTCGGGGCATGCCGCCCCGACTCTGGCCGTCTCCTCCACACTTCCGCCATCCTCGACGCCATCCCGCACCCGCAGCACCGACCAAGAACGGACCGGGATTCCCTCGCAGAATTTCGGTGCGCATTTTGAATCGCCGGGTGCTGCCAGTCCCGTCGAGAGATGGAAATTTGCCGCAGATGTGAGGTCGACTGACATTAGTCTTGCGCAAGATTCGTCTCCAGAGTCTTCGGGTTCTCCTCCAGAGTCTCAGGCATCGAACCGAGATCTTCTTGCAGCTGCATCCGGAGACTGTCACGGCTCGAACGCAAGGTGTACCATCTCGCAGATTCACGAGGTTCCGACCGCACTCGACGACGAGGTCACATCGGCCGCCCGACGAAGCTGCGCTCTCACGAGCACTCCGCCGAGAGTCGTCGTCGTCGTCGGCCGACCTCCGTCGTGGCCCGTGGTTCCGAATGGGTCAGGGTCTTCCGCCATCTCCTCCCGAGCTGGAGTCGTTGCCAGGCCCTCGCCTCGGAGAAATGTAAAGTGTGGGGTTCGAGCTGAAGGGACCGATGCCCTACATTGGAGTTCCTTCCATGAGCCTCTCGATGCCACCCGCCAGATCGAACACAGGCTTGCGACTGCTCATTCCGCAGACGGTGAGACATCTCGTTCTTCCTCGATGGCTGCATCTGTTCCTCTTGGACAGATCCCGAGACATTCGTTTCTCTCTGCACTCCGCCTCATCGTCCCGTGAGCCTGTTGCATCTCCTCCATCTCAGTTTTAGCCATGGAGCCTCTGACGCCACTCAGTGGCGAATGGCTTGTCGATATGTTATCTTCTAGTCGGCAATAGTTTTATGATCGCATCGTACTCGCTGTCTAAAGAAGCGGGATGCGCAACTTGAGATTGGCAACTTGATCGCTGCCAGATTCTAGCCCATCGGAGAGGTCATCAAGTTGGTTGGGCTATGGGCTGAACTTTGTGAGGTTCTGTCCGAATCATCGAGTCTATCCCCAATTGATGATGCCGATCCTGGTTTTGCGCCTGAGAGAAGCCGTCTACACCGAAGTCGTCAGTTCTCTGCTCTGTTTTGAGGTCAACAAGCAGAGCGTTGGCGGCTTGGAAGATGGCTGTGGGTCAGAAGCGCAGGCCTTTGAAATCCACGTCACCGTCATGCTTGATTCTGAACCTGTGTCTTGGTGGGCTGTCAGCAGGGACTTCTGGAGGTACCTTTCTCGGAGCAATGAGTCTAAACCAAACCTGCTACAGCTCGACCGCCGACATTTTACCATCTCAAATTTCACTTGGAGCTTTCCCCCTTACCAATAGTCCAAATTGCACTGTAGATCGAGATTCCAGGCAACTTTCACAGCTACGATATCCTCAGCAACAACAGGGGGTGAACGAAAGCTCTGAAAAAACTGCTTTTGAACCAGTTTCTTCCTTTGGCAATATTTCTTTGGATCCACAATCGGAAGAGAGAAGACAAAGGCAGAGTCATGGAGGAAGATCTGTCCAGTGGCCCCAGTTGACAGAGCACTTTAGTGTGCTTGGAAAATTCTACTTTTCTACCAAAGTGTTTCCAGTCTTCACTACTCTGAGAGGGTAAGAACCCCAATATTCGACGGCTCTCTGAAGTTCTGAAATACTATTCCGGATTTGGTTGTGAGTGGGCTTGGATAAGTGTACGAGTCTCCGCTTCTGATTGCACATATTGGTCGTTGACAAATAGGAATATTGTGGAAGTCCCCTTCACTGCGGAAGAATTGAATGAGCGTGGCAGTCTACCCATAGAAGTCAACCATTACCTTTGGTGGTATCTAGATGGACTTCACTGTCGACCTTCTTCTAGGCGACCACTCAAGGTATTTAAGTCCAAGCGCGACGAGAAGTTCTATGTCATTTGATTCCTGCAAGACAGGTCACTGCTGACTGGTATATATATATATATGTATATAGGTGACGTGGAAATCGGCAAACAACGTAATGTTCCCTCCGTTTGTCTGTCACAGAGAAATGCTGGCACCGCAAGATCGTTTAAGTGCTTCGCACACCAATCCGGGAAGGTCAGTTTTCAGGTCAGTAAACCTTTGACCGACCTTTGTTTTTTTAGAAGAAGTTAGTAGTCAGCTGCATATGTCGTTCAGCAGGAAAAGCTAATTACCAGTGCATTCAAATGATGGTTGACAATGTGATTTCCTGTGTAATCGATAGATCATGGAAGAGAAGAATCAGGCAAGCACCTTACTGCCGCGCGTGCTTGCATTTGATAGTGTCCTCAAAGTTTATGATGAAGATGGACATCAAGAACATGGACGCAGCCGTCAAGTGACCCGAGCTCAGAGTGAAACTTATCATAGGCTCGCCGACAGAGGAATCTTTGCCGGCCTGCAGCACTACATGCATTGCGGTTCGTCAACTTCTGAAGCCTTTTGTATTCCTCTTCCTTTTAGATTTCTGTATGTTACTGGTATTCGATACTGGTATGTTACTGGTATGGAAATTTAAAATAAATGGCAACGAAGATGGGCGACCATTGTGATCCTTTTTGTGTAGGAACCTTATTCTGTTTACCCCATCCTGCTTTTTGAGCTGCCCATAAATCTTCAATCAAAGTCGAGCAAATTGTCGAGGGTGAGGCTATAGTTGTCCACAAGTTTCCAGTTTTACCTCTTAAATTATTGATCTGTCCGCAGTAAGTACGTTTTGCTAAAATCACTATGGTCAATTTAGCCCTGTTGGTGCTGCCGCGAGGCGCTCCTAAGTTGCCTACTGCTCGTCGTGTCTTTCCTAGAAGGTCGTTTGATTACTGAGTGAGTACTTTGCCTATTCTGCAGGGGATGGTAAGTGCTACTTTGACCGTACGGAGTCGAGAGCAGATGCGGATGTGCAGGATCCCGAATTCAGGCAGTTTACCACCATTGCAAAAGCTCGCTGCCTCTGTATACACATTTGTAGAATCAACACAGTTTTCAACTACATCTCCAGGTTCGCGATTGCCTTGATTCAGCCTTCGGAAACCGTCGTTGCCTGAAATTGAACGTGCAGACTTGGATTTCTATGGAAGTAGAGACGCGGAGTGCTCTTTAGGATTCATGCATGGTGTTGAAGAGTTCAAGCACTCATAGTTTGAACTGAGTAAATTGTATTGACTCGGGATATTGCAGATTGCAACTGTTGTTTTCTACGACCATCACCATGAATATGGATCGGTTTGTTGTCAAATTCGGACATCTCTACGATGTGCGCTGCAAGGTGAGCAAAGTTTTCTCCGATAGGCTTAGCATTCCACTTGCAGCTCGCGAATGATCATGAGTACCAAATTTCATGCGTTGTCAGGACGCAAATGGGGAAGAATTGCCACGAGTTTGCGGAGATAGATCAAGAGATGGCAGTCTACTCTGCGAGATCGCTGAATATGTTTGTCGTTTCTGCAGCTTGTCTCTTACATCCAAGACTGGCGTTTTCCATGGGAGAGAATCGCCATTAAGTCTGTGTGCTGCACGTCAAAGCCAACCGACTTCTCAAGCATTGAACTGGAGAGAGCGTTGTCCGACCACTTTGTACAAGCTGACTCACACCTTGTCTATCCCAGATCCTTGGTGGCGACAATCGCCAACCGCTGGTTGAAGCACATGGATCCATATGTACATACAAGAGATCAGCATTGGGGAAAAAAGAGAGGTCATTTAGAGTCGGCCTTAGAAGTTATCTCTCCTTATAAAGATTCCCTTAAGCACGCAAAGACGGGAAAAAAGGTCAGTACTTTTTAGTTTCTGGAAACCGAATCCAGATTGAACACTAGATTCTGACTGTACTAGTTGATACATGATTGTACCTACTACGAGGGTATTTGTTTGCTGGTCACGTGTAGGATCTTCCTCTTTGTTCTTGTACACACGTTCAGGCAAGGAAGTGTATATTTTTTTAATTGCGAGTCTAACATTATTCCAAGTGTATTTGAATCAGCTGCGCGTGCCAGACGAAGGATGGCCTGCTAGTAGACTCCACTACTTGGAGACGAACGATAGACAACCGGAAGGGTATGGCGTAAATTTTGAGTCATACCATTCGGAACCCATCCTTGGCAAAACATGTGATCAGGCAATATCTACGGAGCAAAAGTGGAGTATTTCAACTTTTGGTGCGTGTTCTGATAACTCTGACAGCCTGGTTTCTGAATGTCATTAGCCTTTTGCTGTTCGTGGTTCACTATACTCTGTGACTCACCTTTGGATCACCAAAACTTTGTCTTCGCTTCAGATGTTAGTCTGCACCGCATGTCAGGTTTCTTTGATAGTTATTCTTTTGTCAAGTAGAGCCTTCATAATAATAGATTTCATGGCTCCCAGCTACTCATCCTTCGTGATGTTACCAAATACATGAGAGTAATTGTCAAGGGTCTGTTACGTCCACTGTCAGATGTTGAGATTCTCATGAGACTTCCGCATCACGAGTTGATGATTTATGCTTATCCGTTCGGGGAGCAGCTCATATCTCCATCGTGTTTTTGTGAGGGGTTTTGGTCTCTCCAAAAGGTCTCGCGTCTCCTTTCTCATTAGATGGGTCCTTTACTGATCAAGCCCTGCTTTGGGGATGTTTACTAAACTGATGACTTGTTGCCTGTTGTCAGGTTACCGAAAGATTCCGATGTAGTTGGAATAAAAGGACGACAATTATATTTGAAGGACTCCAGCGATTTGAACTGTTGTCTATGAGACCGGCAAGTATTATGTCTGGAGAAGAAAGGAGCCAAAGCTTTCTTTTGCATGGAATGTTGCAGGAGAAGCTTTGTGCGAGATAAATAAAAAAAAAGCAACCAGACCAAAACCCTTCACATGTCTTTCGGCTATTTCAGTTAGATTCTCGAGCACGAGAGAGCGAATCACCAACCCCAGCCCCCTCCTTTATCTGATAATTCTAATTAGGACTTCCGATGAAGAAAGGAGTAGTGAGAATCGTTGATTTCTCTCCCCAACGGTAGAATGAAATTTCGGACCTTCCCAGGAGCAGTAACTTGTACAGGTCAGACAGTGCCTTGCCCTACCCTGACGGAAGCTCGCCGATCAGGACATTTTTGAAAGAGCTCATTTGATTTTAATTTAGAGATTCTGTAAAGATGCGGTTTTACTGCAGTGCCCCGTCTTCTCTAAACTCCTGACATGTTCTGGGCAGTGCTATTCTTCTGAAGAGCTCCCTACTGTACAAATAGGAATCTATTCTATTTTTGTAGAAATGAAGCCCTTAATTATATAAATGAATTTGAAATTCGCAATTGTGAAATCTATCTTCTCTAAATGTCAGAATAGTCGAATTGTCAAAACTGTCATGCGCATAGATATAATGAAAAGTGGACAGTACGAAATGGTAAATTGACTGCATCGTGTAGCGTAGATGGGAAAAATTGTGGTTAAAATGTTCTTGTTAGCAGGCGGAAAAATTTAGTGAAATAACTTTTGCAACCGAGAAAATTGAATCTCGTCACTAGAATTATAACTGTAATATTTCCTACAAAATAACAATTTTCCACTACTTAAATCCCGAAAAAATGATGTAGATAAACTTCTCGTAGTCTGAAAATATAAAAGATGTATTTAAATTATATATGACAAATGCGATAATTCGGAAAGAGTTCGTCACGTTCATATCTGATAGCTTGCATAGTCCTTTCTTTTTGGAAACCAATAAAAAAAATATTAATTTTTTTTAAAAACCATATCAAATTTTTAAAAATATTTCGACAAAAAACAAATTATATAAAATATCTGATGTTGAGAATTTGAAAGACTTTCACAGTAAAAAAGAGGAAAATATTAATCCTAATTTCAATAATTTAGATTTAAAAATAAATGTAGAAAGTACAAAATAAATAGTAATAATATATTATTAAAAAAAATTAATAATGAAAATTTTTCTATTAATTTTGAATATAAAACTTCAATATATATCAATAATTTAGAAAATTTACTAAAAACAACATATATCTATAGAAAAATATTTAAAAAAAGAAAAAACATTAAATTAAAAAATAATAATAGTGATAAAACAAAAAACTATTAAAATTTATAAAAAAATTTCAATTAATACAAAAATTACCATAAAATTTTCAAATAAATTTTCAAAAAAGTTATATACATTGGAAAATAAATGAAACAAAATTGATTAATAACCTTAGTAAGTTTTTTCAAGATAATTAAAAAAATATTCAACTGTAAATAATAAAAAAAGAAAAAATTAAAGTTAATTTTAAGCAAATAATGATATTAATTTCTCAAGCATATGTATTTAACAAAATATGGGAAATAAAAACAAAAGATAAGTCTTATTTAAAATGTTTATTAAAATATTGGACATCCCATTTACGGATAAAAAAAAAATTTCAAAGTTTTTTATCTAATCAAGGAATCGTTGGTTCTCTAGAATTACAAAATTTGAAAGAATAAAATTGGAAAGAGTGCTTTAAAGGTTTTAATCGATATAATATTACATCCAAAGTGGTATAAAATAACACCTGAAAAATAAAGTTAGTGAACATTGGAAAAACGAATAAAATAAAAAATTAAATTCTAATCAACAGATTAGTGAAAATAGATATTTTATTAAGACTTAATTTTAGAACAAACTAAAAAACGTAATAAAATCTTTAAACAAAATTTATTAACTTATAGTTGTTTTGATTTTACAAAAAATTTAGCAATTAGAAATTTTTTGAATTTAAAAAGAAAAAATATATATAATAATATTATTAGAAATAAAATACAGAAATATTATTTTATTTATAATAAAAATGTAAAATATTGAAATTTTTTTCGCAAAAACAAAATATTTTTTTCTAATATAATCTATTATTATGGCTTATTCCAGAATTTCTAGAAGAAAAAAATCAATATCAAAATAAAAGAATTCCAATTCTAAAAAATTATATTATTAAATAAAATAATAATAAAATAATTCAAAATCCAAAATTATTTTGAAAAAGAGAACTTAATCAATCTATTCGCCAATGGAGATGGAAGTCAAAAAGTTTAGAAAAAAAATTTAAAAAATTAGGAAATATGGCTTCTCTGATGACCTTTATGCAAAATCAAGAAAATATTATTTCTCTTTCTAGCAATAATTAGATTAAACTATTGCCCCAATATAAAATAAAAAAGCACTTAAAGTAATTATATGTTCAAGCATAAAAACTTCCCTAAAATTTTTCATTTTATGAAATTGTTTATTAAAATAGTATTCAAAAATTTGGAAAATCGTTTTTTTCTAATTCAGTTTTTTTTTCACGACGAGCTAAGGTAATAGCACCTATTGAAGCAACTAAAAGAATTATTGACATAAGTTCAAATGGAAGTAAAAATTCAGTTAAAAATTCCGAACCAATATGCCTAACTGTATTTATTAATATAATATCTTTTACTACTAAATTAGGTTTTGTCATTAAAAATATTTTAGACCATGATGTGTTAGAAATAATATTATTTAATATTAAAAAAATACTTGTACAAAGAGTTAAAGTAATACCATCACCTATTGTCCAAGAAAAAAAAATAATTGAATATTGTTTTTTGTTTATTAACATAACAGCAAAAATAATTAATACATCAACAGCTTCTACATAAATTAAAATTTGTGCGACAGCCACAAAATCTGCATTTAATAAAAGATATAATAACGATATACAAACAAAAACAAAACCTAAAAAAAGAGCAGAATAAACTATATTAGTTAATAATATTACACCTTAACTTCCTAATATAAGACCTGACTCCAAAAAAAGAAAAATAGTTTCATGAAATGATTCTGGTAATTTCATAAAGCTCACAATAATAAAATCAAATATTTTTTAACAAAATGACTTTGTTAAAAATAAAAAAATAATAAATAAAAATGACGAAAAGATTATTAATTTACAATATTTGTAATATTTTGAGAATAAATATGCCTTTCGATTTTGCCTTTAGGTAAAGAAGTTAAATTGGAAATATTTTCAATTGTAGAATCTTCAATTATTGATATAGGTAAACGCCCTAATGCAATTTGATCATAATTTAATTCATGACGATTATAAGTTGAAAGTTCATATTCTTAAGTCATAGATAAACAATTTGTAGGACAATACTCAACACAATTACCACAAAATATACAAACTCCAAAATCAATACTATATTTTTTTAATTGTTTTTTTTAATAGTTTTTTTTAATTCCCAATCTACAACTGGTAGATTTATTGGGCATACATGTACACAGACTTCGCAAGCAATACACTTATCAAATTCAAAATGAATACGACCACGAAATTGTTCAGAAGGTATTAATTTTTCATAAGGATATTGAATAGTTGTAGGTAAACGATTCATATGATCTAAAGTAACTAAAAACCCTTGACCAATATATCTTGCAGCTTGTATTGCTTGTTGATTATAATTTTTTAATCCATGTATAATAGAAAACATATAAAAACTTCCTTCATAAATTTATGGTTTTAGTTATATATTTTTTTAGATTTATAATAAAAAAATTAAAAAGATGTTGTTAATAATAAATTACCTAAAGCAATAGGTAAAAGAAATTTCCACCCAAGATTTAATAATTGATCGATTCAAATACTAGGTAAAGTCCATCTTGTCATTATTGAAATAAATAAAAATAAATAAGATTTTAATAATGTTATAACTATTCCTATTATTATGTTAATAACTTCACTAATTCCATTACTCATAAAATTCAATTCCAAATTTTTAAAAAGTGATAAAAATGGAATTGAAAAATGCCACCCCCCTAAATAAAGAATTGTTACAAATAATGAAGAAACTAGCAAATTTAAATAAGAAGCTAAATAAAAAAAAAAACAAATTTCATGCCTGAATATTCAGTTTGATAACCCGCAACTAACTCTTCTTCAGCTTCTGGTCAATCAAAAGGAAGTCTTTCACATTCTGCTAAAGAAGTAATAAAAAAAACAATAAAACCAATAGGTTGACGCCATAAATTCCAACTTAAAAAGCCATATTTAGATTGAGCTTCAACTATATCAACTGTTCTTAAACTATTCGATAATTATAGTCGATATGAACATTACTATTTATATCTCTATTGCAAAACCGTACATGAAATTTTCATTTCATATGGCTCCTCAGTGGTTATTTAAATATAAAAAATATATAGTTTTTTACCAACGAGATTCTGTTTGCTATAAAATAAAAGCTTATGAATCTATCTTAATTTTTACAATTTTGGCTAGCGCTAACTTTACATTAAAAAAATTGTAAAAAAATTATTTCGTTCCTAATAGTCATTTTTGTAATAGATAGGTTTATACTTTTAATTGAGATTCAAAGGAAGTACTACTTAAAAATCTCTACTAATATTAAGTCCTTATTCTCATTTTAATATATTTTATATATTTTTACTAATTTTTTGTGTATTTTGGGTTTTCTTACCTTCTACTCTTGCTTATTCAATATATATAATAAAATTATATTATTGATTTTTTTTTTCGCTGTCAGTACTAGATCGCTACTCTTTTACCTGGAAAATATACTTTCTTAATTTATTGTATATAGCTTTCACTCTTGTACAAAGAGGATGGGACTTGATTTTTTTACTGCAAATTCAAATGCTGTTTAATCTCACCCATATGACTATTTAGTTTTTTATTAAAAAATTAAAAATTTTATTACTAAATTTTTTTAAGTACTTTAACGAATCACACGTAGAGCTATAGATAAAACAATTAAAGCTAAGGGAATTTCATAACTAATAGATTGAGCAGCAGCTCTTAAACCACTTAAAAAAGAATACTTATTATTTGACCCATAACCAGCCATAAGAAGTCCCATAGGAACAATACTAGAAACAGCAATCCAAAAAAACACCCCTGTACTAAAATTAGCTAAAATAACATTATATTCAAAAGGAATTACTAAATAACTTAAAAAAACTTGTATAATAACCAAAATAGGTCCAATATTAAATAACCAAACATCGCCTTGTGCTGGAACAATATCTTCTTTTAAAAAAAGTTTAATTCCATCCGCTAAAGCATTCCTAAAGGACCAGCATCTTCTGGTCAAATCCGTTGCTGGATTGCAGCAGATATCTTTCTTTCAAGCCATACAAGTACTAATACTCCAATAGTAACCCCTAACATAAGAATTAAAATAGAAAAAATAATCCACAAAAGTTAAAAAATTCTTTAGAAAAATCTAATGTAAAAAAAAATTAAAAAATTAATCTTCTAAATTTATATTTGAAATCATTCTAACGATCAACCTCCCCCATAATTATGTCTATACTACCTAAAATTGTCATAATATCTGCTAATTTCATCCCTTTTACTAATTGAGGAAGAATTTGTAAATTTATAAACCCAGGTGAACGAATTTTAAGTCTCCAAGGAAAAACACTATCATCTCCAATTAAAAAAATACCATATTCTCCTTTTGGCGCTTCTACTCTAACATAATGTTCTTGTTTAGGTAATTTAAAAGTTGGTGAAGGTTTTTTACTAATAAATTGATATTCAAATAAATTCCATTCTGAACTTTTTCCTTGATTAAGTCGGCGTGCTTCTAAATTTTCAAAAGGTCCTCCCGGAATAGCTTTTAAAGCTTGTTGAATTATTTTAACAGATTCTTTCATTTCACCAATTCTTACTAAATAACGAGCTAATGAATCTCTTTCTTTCTGCCATTGAATTTTCCAGTCTAACTCATCATAACATTCATAATGATCTACTTTTCGAAGGTCCCATTGAACTCCTGAAGCTCGTAACATAGGGCCTGATAATCCCCAATTAATAGCTTCTTCTCTAGTAATAGTACCTATTCCTTCTACTCGTTTTAAAAAAATAGTATTATTTGTAATAAGTCTTTCATATTCATTTATTTTAGGTTAAAAATAATCACAAAAATCGAAACATTTGTCTATCCAACCATAAGGTAAATCTACGGCAACTCCTCCAATTCGAAAATAATTATGCATCATTCGCATTCCAGTAGCAGATTCAAATAAATCATAAATCGTTTCTCTTTCTCTAAAAATATAAAAAAAAGGAGTCTGTGTACCAATATCAGCCATAAAAGGTCCAAGCTATAACAAATGGGATGCAATACGACTTAATTCCAACATAATGATTCGTATATAACTCGCTCTTTTAGGAACTTGAATATTTGTTAGTTTTTCTGGTGCATTTACCGTTATTGCTTCTGTAAACATTGTAGCTAAATAATCCCATCGTGTTACGTAAGGAAGATATTGTACAATTGTTCGATTTTCGGCTATTTTCTCCATTCCTCTATGTAAATAACCTAATACAGGTTCGCAATCCATAACATCTTCTCCATCTAAAGTAACAAAAAGTATATATGTTAAAGTGACTCAAAATGTGTTGACAGGCAGTATGTGAACTCATCCAACACTGTATGCTAGAAACCGACATGCTGTTCCCAACTGCTGAGTGACAGGAAGGGCTCAAAATATGATCTGCTAAATCCCTAAGATAAAAGCTCTCTCGGCAACACTCTTATACTTCTTTCACGAAAGTCGAGCACGTTAATCAGTGGCACTCTTACGGCTCTCTTGAACATGCTCATAGTCGATAGTTCAATTATCTTCGTGGCACGACACAGGGCACTGCTGCCGTATTACGCATGTACCTTCGTTTATAACCGATCTGAACAAATGCACAACTTTTCACTACATCTGTTGAGCTTCTAGACCACAGCGAGGGTTAACTGCGGTCATATCTAGCCTACTTGCACTATAATCATGACCCAGGGATGGAATCAAAAGCTCCCTTTCTGATCACAATATTGGGTGATCAACACCATGGGTTCGGTAACTTTCGATCTCCTACTTCTATGTATATGTATATATATTCACTTTTTTCGGCATCCTGCGATCCTACATGTGGCATGTTTAGCCTTCAACAGGCCAACAGGAGCTTTCAAAAATAAATTACCACAAATGCAATTCCATAGAAGCGGTGTATTGCTTCCATCCATGACCTCCTCCACAAGCATAGGAGATCCATCGGGGCGACGATTTAAGTGAGAGAACTGAGCCGCGATGGATGGGTTGCCCACTACCAACTGCCGACCTACTTTCGGTGCTCGTCTCATCATCTGAAGGGAACATATTCTTCCAAGTCAGAACTCCTTTCCACGGACACTAAACATCCAACACTTATCACTGCCTCTTGAAGTGAGACAGTAAATGAAAGGACTTGACGCATACAGGACATCAACTTCACAACTTGCATACGTTAAACTATCTTTTCGTGAAGTTAGAACGAATCTCTTCATGAGATTCTGCATCTCTTCAATTCAGTAAAACCTTGGCACAGAACGCAGGGTAGTCATTCATTACCCTTTGTTGCAAAAGTTGCTCATGACACAGCAGTATCGTCCACTTTTTCTCCCTTGAAACATCTTCCATGGCAAGAGATTTAGGATCGCCCAGTTCCTCATCCACATCTGATTTTATTTGCATCTCTGGAAAAAAGAAGAAGACAAGTGAGTCACTGACCAAGTCAAGTAAGAGTTTTTTACTGCATACAGGTATATATGGACGAAATGGCTGGTATACTCAAATTATACCGCGTCATATCTAGCTGAAGATTGTTTAATCACTGGAGCTGAACGTTGAAGCACACGCTACACAGGACTTCTCGAACAGTCGACGAGCAGCTATTCAGTGCCCAGCGAGCGTAAACCGTGCTAACACTTGGAAAACTTTTGGATTTTGAATTGATTTCTCCATAACACGCTAACACAGTAGCAGAATCTACAAAGTTGCGGTAAGTCGTACCTCGAAGACTTAGTATAAGTTTACCCCAATCCATGGCTTCAACTTCTCTCCGTTGTAACTCAGTAAGAGGAAAATTTAGAATCGCATTCCTCCCTTCAAGCTTGTAAGTGCACCTGGCACCAATTGGACGAAACTGGAAGCGTAAGCACCTAGGGCATAAACCATTACTAAACCCTGTAGCTGCCTTTGGCGACAAAACGAGGTGGAACCCAATACTGGAGGTTCAAATTCAGCTCACATGTCTGAGGCCCGAGCTGCCACTTCAGAGGAATCATAAGTACCAACGGCAAGATATGCACCACCATGACGGATATAGCTTTGCCACATGCCGGAAATGAGACGGTTAACGCCATGATCTGCTCGAGAACGAAAGCTGGTTAGCAGCCAAGACTCCTCAAGATCGTCAACACAACGGAAGAACGAGGTGCACGCGACTGACATCCACAGAGCAAACAAACGATTGGAGTACTCATGATTACAACTGAGCAGAACATCCTCAAACACTAATCGCAACAGGGAGAATGGTGAGTAAGGCACATGATGGTAGTTGCTGCAGGTCCAACTTTGCAGCCACAGAACTCCAGTCAGCAGCTTCCACCTCCTGTCTCTCGACTTGAGATAGCTCTTGATAGGTTTTTGCCAGCTCGTTATGCAGCTTGTAAGCGGCTCTGCAGGATTGACTTACAGTTAGAAGGAAGAATAAAGTATTCGACACTCAATATTAGTGGAACCAGGCAGTAGCCTATGAAGAAAACTCTTGGAACAATTTTGTGATGCAAGTAACCATGCAAAGGAGCAAGTCCACAAATACCTTCGTAATTATAGACGCCTGAGCTATTCGTCCAAATTACATGGAGGATGAAACTGACCCCACATTTAGACAGATGGACATCAATTTCATCAACTCAACCACCAAAAGTAGCAGTCTCCGTCGAGCGAACAGAAGAAAAAGGGCAAAAGTACTTACAGATCATGAACTCTCAAGGCTTCAACTTCACTCGAGACGGACGAGGTAAAAATACGATCTTTCCTTGCGTTTTCTAAACAGACTTCCCATCGGCCTTGTACCATACGTGCCCCTCGCGCTCCAAGAAAAGCTACATCACAGACAGTTATTCAATTGAACATTTTCCCTGAAACAGTAAAAAGGTGGAAGTTCCTCCCACGATTGCTCATGATCGTTGTGAAATGTCACAATGTCACGAATGTATCATACTCAAGTCGTTGACGCAATAGCGCAATTACCTTGTTTGGGTGCCAACATCGCTTGACCAGCCAGGTACTCGCGCAGACTGTTAACAGAGTGTGTTGACAGAAAAGCCAGTTCTTCAGGATTAAGTTCCGTGTTAACCTTGGCCCTCTCACCAATGAGCTTAGATGCAAACCTGCCACATTCGATGATTTTTGTTACGAAGTCGTCAGCCTTCACAACGCCGAATTTAGAAACTAACGCTCAACGTGCTTCGTAGTGTGAACCCACTGAGCAGCAGTACAACATTACCATCCGACATAAAAGCATCGTCGTAACGAAAAGTCCAGGTAGACATGATCATGAAGGAAGAAATGAGGAGGTTAACTGATAGCAAAATTTTTTTATGCTCTACAAGACACTCTTCATTCCAAGATAAAATCTGTACAAGTAACTTGATGTAATTCTTAATCTCAGTGGGATTAAAAATTACGTCAAGTGACTCCCACGGAGAAGTAACATCTGTTTCTGTCTTAACTTCATCCTGAGTTCTTCGAGTTAAGAATTCAGGATCAAGTTTGAGACATTACTGCGTAAATATTGTAAGAACACTGGCGTACACATCTTGTCAGTGATGTTAAGAAGCTTTGGTGGAGATAGAATTCTGGTTGGTTTTTGAGTTCGTTTCAGTTCACATGTCCATAAAGTCATGACCTTAGTGTTTTTCATACTCGACTTGAGGGACTGCTTACAAACTATAGCTAACCAACTCAAAAACCAACCAGAATTCTAACTCCACCAAAGCTTCTTAAGATCACTTACTTGTAAGTGATCATGCGCATTTTAGTGCGTTTCTCTCGAGGAAGTTTGAGTGAGCACAGCTACAGTCATGTCTCTGACTCGGTACAACCAAGAACATGACTGTAGCTGTGCTCACTCAAACTTCCTCGAGAGAAACGCATAAAGTGCGCAAGATATACCTACCTCTCATTACGTGAGAATCGTTAACTTGTTAATCTTATAGTCAATCTCTTTTTCTTTACATAGGGTAAAAACCGTAGATAGTTAACAAGTAAGTCTACCTATTAACTGTAACAATATTAACTATTACATACTTCTTCCATTTATTGAATTAGTAAATACTAATTTAATATATGGAATAAGTAGAGTGGCGGCCATTGGCCACCTCAAGATTAAGATTAAGATTCGAGTTATGACCTCAATTTCAAGTTTGAATCATGCATCTCTTGTATATATCGCTAAAACATCATTCATGATACAAACCGTCAAAATGATCTTTTCCTCCTGTACTAATTGCAATTTTAAAAGCGGAATTGGTCAGAAGTAGAAATTAATTTATATTCTAACTGACTTTCAAGTTGATGACGATTCAAACTTGAAAAGAGCAATCAAAAGAGTCTTAACATTAGTGTTACAATTAACAGGACAATAGAGAATAGAGGAGAGTCAATAGGAGCACCACGTACTGATGGTCCTATTGACTCCGAAGCATCTAAAAGACATCCTAATCAATTGGTGCCACAGAGTTCAGATTATGAAAAGAACTTACAAGTCATATGCTTTGGCTGCAGTTTCTTTGGTTTTGAAGGTGCCTAGATAAAAATAATAGCTTTTGTAGGTGAAGCTAGCGTGCCAACCCCCAGAAGTTGTGAGACGGACACCGCGACAACCGGAATTTCCTGCAACAATGAAGTCAACAATTCAGAACTTTAAAGCAAGATTGATATCGCATTACCATATTCCTTTATAAGCGAAAAGAGGGGAAAACAAATAAATAAATACAGTTATAAATAACTGATAAAATTCACTAGTGCAGTGCTTTCTTACATTTCGGTCCAGATATTATGAATCGTATTTAAAGTTATAGGTTGATTAAATTGACTGATCAATCATCGACAATCTAGACTTCGCGATCAATAATTAGCACGACGGAAACACTGGCTATGTGAAAGCACAATCACATACGTCTAATTCTGCGAGCTTGGATCTCCAAACCAAGTCTTACGACAAGTGCGTCCCAGTCCATTGTTGCAAGCTCTTTCTTTTCACTAGCAGTAAGAGGTTGACTCAAAAGGGCATGACTGCCATGAAGCTTGTAAGCTGCTCTGCGCCCGCTCAAATCAAAGAAATGTCAGGATATAACCGCGTACATTACACTTGTAAACCAAGATGACAAATCCAAGGTTGACGATGGATAATTGCACTTGCGATAACCCATTAATTCTGTACATTTTCGTAAGAGGAAATTCCCTCCCCCTGATTGATGTTAGCTGCATTCTATATAATGGAAACAATTCCAAGGAGCATCGTTAAGAGTCGCTTGACACAGACTGTAAGATGGCCTTGGAAGCCAGCTTCGTAACAAGGAGGTATAGCTCAGTGGTAGAGCAATCGGCTGCAGTCCGATAGGTCATCAATTCAATCCTGGTTGCCTCCTTGAAAAGGTACAATGTTCAGCCCAAATTTCTATTTTACCAAACTGAAGTACGCGTCGAAGAAACCTCAAATTAACACAAGAGCGATTCTAGTATCTACAGTCTGACTCCACTCTGAATATAATCTCGAATTGAAGTTGCTCTACTTACAAGTCATAGGCTTTAGTGGCATCGTTCATAGTCGTGAAATATCCCACGTAGTTTTCCTTGTCATGCCTTATCTTCGCTTGCCACAACTGCTCGTCCTCTTTAAATTGAACACCAGGAAATCCAAGTCCAGCTGCAGGACACAGCCCAGAATTAGTCGCAAGTCCACCCCACATGCAGCAGTCTGATCAGAGGCAAGTCGCCAAGAAACATCAGACGTATCCATAATTCCAACGTGAGCCTACCCAACCACGTCATTCGGTTTTGTAACTACGACAGGCAGCTAATGAAATCATCACCGAATGGTTGCCCTGATTAAATTTCCACACTGGTCAGACTCCTGTTGAGCATAGATCCATACTTGATGGCAGAGGAGGAACGTCTCTGCACCTACCCGGAGAATTCTCCGAGAGAGCTTGAAGTTGCATCTTCAACAATAGGTCTTCCCATCCAGTGCCTTGTATTTCCAGCTTTTCTTCCTCGGTCAAGTCAAAATTGAGTCGCGCAGATCTTCCGCTGAGTTTGAATGCAGCTCTAGAAATTATTTAAAAGAAAAAAAACAAACAGCGCGGGCAACATCAGTATACCGTAAAAGATCCAGCGAATCTCAACTAGCGTCCATTTTCATGAAGAACGAAGGCGAATGTCAGGCCAAAAAAATTAGCAGCCTTCGTGACAACTGTGACAAATATCGATGAAAAGGGCTTCCTCTGCGTGGAATAATGCTCTTTCTTACTTGTCGTAGGATCTTGCAGCCTCTTCTTGAGACAAAAAAATCAATTTGTGCACTACTCCATCCTTTTGCAACTCCACTTCAAATCTGCCCCGTACTGGCTGAACCCCAAAATACTTCGTGCCTCCTGAATGTACATCCAGCCAACGCATGACAAACCCTGACAAAGTTCATATACTTGCTGATACGTAAGGTTCAGTAAGACATTGCGAAAATCCAGAAGGTAAAGGACTGGATCTCAAGAAAACAAACCCTGACAAGTATTAGCAATACGACGTAAAAGGCAATATCATACCTTGCGACTTATCAGATTCGATGTTACTGGAGTCTTTTAGCACACTTTCTGGAGTACCACGGGTATCTTCCTCCCTGTACAATTAACACTCTCCACCATGAGTTGGGGTATACGCCAGACGTGTAGTCAGTTCAGCACATAACCAAAAAGGCAGCGGCAGTCGTACAGCCAATTTCAGAGTTCACAAACTAAAGCTACGGTTTACCATCTCGATCAGCACAGTAGCTGGAAGTAACGAACACAGGCCTGGACGTTGACGAGTCCTAGCACACATTACCCAGTTTGGAACAAGTGGGGAGATATCGTCGGCTAGTTCCCATAAACTGTCATGCCCGCTTAAACCATTTCCACCAACAGCTTGTTCCACCGAATTCGATATTGAAACAAATGCAACAACATTCGGTGGCTAAAAGACGTGGAAACGAAGTACTTCACAGAAGCTAAATACTTCTGTTTCAAAAATTGGCCCATCCGGGTGAATTGAGCTTGCGATATAGAATTCTGGTGAAATTGGGTGGAGATTCAATTTGTACAAATTTAGGACTAAATTCAAAAACAGGCTCATGCGCTGATCAGACGAGAGACCATGACTACCTGTCCTCTAATTTCAGCGAGGAAACCAATTTGGCAAGTGCAAAAGCACTACTTAGGCTTCTCGGCAACTTTCAGATTCACGAGTAGAACTGCGCCTGAGAGAAACGGTGGGGAGCGAGGAAATGCCGTCACCTCTTCTCGGTCGACGATAAGAAAATGGATTCACTGGCAACAACTTGATTGGACGAAGCGGCATCGGCAGACCCAGAGGGAGAGGAGCTTGAGCTGGAAGAAACAGAAACCGAGACATTGAGCACCCGGCTTTCGAAAACCTCGGTCTCGGTTCCAATGCCGCCACTAACTTCACAGATCACATTGGCAGACGACGAATTTGCAGCTTTCCAGCGCCTTTTTTTGCGGAACCAAACGCCGCCAGTGCCAGCAGCTGCCAGCGTCCGCACAAATTCATCTCCATCCCGCAAACTCAATCGACCGAATCCTCCGAGCTCGTAAATCCCCGCACTCCGCGAGCACAACATTGCATCTCGAGGCTTGCCGTCACGGCCTTCGCGAACTCGGAAATCCGCGACATTGCTACCACCGCAACAAGAGCTCGATTGGACGAGACCTCCCACGCCGAATTGCAACGCCGCACAACGTGCAGCAGCGGCAGACGTTGTGCATGGAGCGCAGAATGGCGCCATGGATGTTCGAATCACAAATCCGCTACAGGAGAGCGCATTCCGCTCGCAATCCGTGTCTCAGAACACGAGCTTCTAGAGGTTTTCCGCCTAAACCCCAACCCCAACCCCAACCCAACCCCTAGACCGTGGTTCCCGTCCACCCTGGTTCGGTTCGTTCCTGCGTGGTTAGTTCCGCCGTCGGACTAGGACTGGGTCTACTGCAATGATTGCCCTTTATCCACTTTATTGTGCCAACAAGTTTCTATTGTCGTATATCGCTTGCTGCAGATATTTTACTATATAATGTTTCCCATTACGCGATGTTATGTGCGGAGCGTTCCGATATTCTAGATGCAAGATTTATTATATTGATGTAATAATGGTCTAGCCTCATGTAATTTTTTTTAAAGAAAGGTCTTCCAATCTTTTACTTATATCATTTGGTTCCTCTTATTCTAGCTTGCATCTCATCATTTTCAATTCAGATCGTTTTCTAAATGCGAGACCGAATCACGAAACAGGAGAATCGATTCCATGAGATTATAGTACTATCCAGCAACATGAGTTTTAGCTAGACATTTGAGGTTTCACTTGTATTCCACGAGGATAAAGGCATGATAGTAATTCCGAACAGCCTCCCAGCTGGAGCGCGAAGTAACCTTGCTTTAGAAAACCACATCGGTCACAAAATTCCTCGCCATGCGCAGCGGATATGAGTAACAACCGCTGGACATGACATGTATTTCTCGGTGTTTGAGAACTTCCTTATACTGTACTACCAATGATCTGGTGTGTCTTGATGAGACTAAGCAAAGGAAGAAGTCCTGTATTCAGAAGGATAATCTGCAGCACGAAAACTATGCAATCTGAGGGAATCTCTTACGCATTCCTATGGGGTTTTCAACACACTTTTCGACATAATACTCCATAATAATACAGATAATAAATTTTAAAACTCCATAACGAGGTTCATGATGGTGGTGGCCAAGTATGTAGCACAAAAGGATGACAATACCCGTACGACCCACATGAAGAAGACGAGGAAACTGGTGGCTAGCCCCTGTAATCTCATAATGAGAATATATGTTATACAACTATCACAGTGCATAACAAATCAGTGAAGTTGTATTCATTAGACTCATTAGAACATGGAAATTGTGGACTTCAAGTTTCTCACATATCGGGGGTATTTTTTCTGGGAAATTAAAACGTGAATATAATCTGATCGAAAGAATTGAACGCAAAAATTCCAGCTGTGCATAAACTGCAATTTATAAAAAATTACGACATCCTGTTAGTTGACTTTGACTTGACATCCTCTCGTTCTCTACTTAGATAGCAAACTGCCTAAGTGCTCTAATTATATGAACTGGGAATGAAAAAATATCAACTTTCCTAGCAAACAGATTTGGAAATTATTTTGTTAAGTCAAATGGAGTAAAAAGATGGAATGAAATTAAGCATCTTGCTGAATAATGGGCAAGTATGTCTGGAGTCGAACAAAATTTGCTTCGAACAGAATTATGATTATACTTAAATCGAATCATACTTGGAGCTGTGCGTAATCAGTATCATCTTAATTGAAATGAATTAGTAGAATAATAATTAGCAAAATGAAATGCTTCGAATGTGAGTCGGATATGGCCGCAAAAAGCTGAGCGCGGAAACATTTGGGCTGCAGGGGAGGGAGGGGGAGTGGGTGAGCTCGAGCAAGAGGGACGGGATTGCGGACTCCGACGCAGAGATTTCGAAGCATTCGGAATTGTGAAGGTAACGATGCTGAAAGCCGGTGAATTGTCCGACATGTTTGCCAGTAGAATTGCCACCATCAGGCGGCACATAGCCCCGCGGTTTCTCTCCGCCCGATCATCGCATGTGAGCACAATCGAGCAATTTGCAATTGATGATTCTTTCTAATATGAAGGGTCTGAATTCCTCGCCAGCATTCGTTCGTTCTTCTGCGAGGCTGAGTTTTCTGCTGAACCGCGATCGGTGTATATTGCACATCGTTTCGAATCCTGATGCTCTTGTAGGCGTTTTATTTCGGCTCGACAGTGAACTGCTCTGCTCTTGGGGATCGGACTTGTTTCACAGATGGTGTAATGATTATCTCAGCCGAAATTAATTGTTGCAGGCCAATGTTGAGTCTTTGGAGAGGCTGGGCATTCGGATTGAACCCAATGTACGCAAAGCGCTGTCCGAGGGCCTTCCCGTGGTGGCATTGGAGTCCACCATCATTTCTCATGGTACGGCACAAGTTTGGGTCATTATCGTGAATATCTTGGACTTGTGGCGACTGAATTTTGCCTCGAGGTGCCCTCTGCTGCTTCTGTCGGGGCCAATCTTCGTTCGAAGATTGGAGGGCGTACAAGTGGAAATGGTCGTCGCCAGGAATTTCTGAGGCTTTGTGGTGAATGCTCTGAGCATTCTGTTCTAAGGTTCTCTATTTTCATTCTGAAGGTGTTTTGCTTACTTATTTTTTCTCAACACTCGATGCAGGCATGCCATATCCGCAAAATTTGAGTACAGCTAAAGAAGTAGAGAGCGTTGTGAAGCAGCATGGAGCCACGCCAGCCACAATAGCTATCCTTAACGGCGTACCCTGCATCGGTACGTCGTTTGCCGGGCTTCATGAGTATAAGCTGCTTTCAAACTTCAAATATCAAAGACACTGGACCTTAACCTTCTCAATTGTGTACAGTGATGGAAGTAAGTTCAGTTCGGGTTCTTATCATTTGTGAGTTTCGGCGCAGGTCTGACTGAGGAAGAGCTGGAATTTCTGGCGCAATGCGGATCAGCAGCTGCAAAGACTTCTCGGAGAGATATTGCGCAAGTGGTAGGTATCACTGTAGTTCAGCCGAGTCTTTCAGCATACGATGTCCTCGTCTCAGTTGTGATCGTAGGTCGTATTGGAAGTTGCTAATGAACTATAGACGAGTTAGTGGTTGGACAGATACTTATCCATTTAAGGTACGTGACTTTTCTTGCTGCAATCCTGATGTATCTACTTATGGACGAGCTAGTGTGCAGAGAGTGGATATGAACCATCTGCTGGAAATAGATTCACATGTTTGTATAAAACACATTCAACGGAAAGAAGCGAAGCTTAGTGACTCAAACAGTGAATGGTAAAAGTCCATAGTTGTTAACGCCAACCTGAAGTAAATTAGTTCTTTGAAGTCGGATGAGTTTTTTGGGCAAGCAGATCTCGAGAGGCGTGACTGGTGCAACCACCGTGTCTGCCACAATGTTTTTCGCCGCGAAGGTAAACCTTTTTCTCTTCTGGCCTTAACCTTCCGTGGCTCATAGTTTCATATTTGCGCCAAGCCAAAATCAGGTTCACCTCTTAGTTTTCCTTGACTGTTTGGCAGGTTTACGTTTCAACCGGATTTGATTATTTAGCTTTGAGATACACGGTTTCTTCGCTTATTACCGTCCACCATGGATCAAAGTAGCGAACATCGTTTTGTCAGCTTGAACCCTTATCTTTAAGACCCTAATTATCTACTTTGTTTAATTCTGAAGATAGGCAGGTATTCATGTCTTCGTAACAGGAGGAATTGGAGGAGTCCATCGGCTAGGGGAATCAAGTAAGCTGTGGAAGTTATAAATCAAGTAATTGTGGGTACCTGTCTTCAGTATACTAGGTAGAAAACTTCAGGTGTCCAGAAGTGCAAAGTGCAAGTGCTTCGCTTTCCTACTGGAAACGCTCTTGTCTCAGGTGGATTCTGTTTGATTTTAATGCAGCCTTGGATATTTCATCGGACTTGACCGAACTTGGAAGGACTCCCGTTGTTGTGGTTTGCGCGGGAGTAAAATCAATTTTAGATATCCCTCGGACTCTTGAATATCTGGTATGTAGCAACCTTGTGAGGTGATCAACGATCTACCTTTCCTCTCAAACCTTATTGTGGGTGATATTGAATCTGACAATGTTCAGTTTTTGAATTCTTTCCAGTTGACAGTATTTTTCATTATCTAGGAAGGATGCGATCTTCTTATTAATCGGTTCCATATCCGGTTCAATCGCAAGAAGTTCCGCAACTTAAGACAAGTTTTCATCTCATCGTCTGAAATATGCTTCAGGGGTTCATTTCATTAGGATGAAAAAGTTTTGTTCGTTGATCACGTTGTTTATTATTACGGTGAGTAAAGTGAGCTTGAATGCTTTTTACTGATTGCAAGCTTAAGCTGTACTTCCAACTTACAGGAGACTCAAGGTGTCACAGTGGTTAGCTACGGTACTGAGGAATTCCCCGCATTCTTCACATCTAAAAGTGGTTGCAAGGTACACGATCTCATATCGATGTAATATATCAGTTTCCGTTGAAAACATCCTTATTCTGAACTTTTTGTCAAATTTAGAACATTGTCGTTCATAGAACCTTTTAACGCAGTTGGAGATTAAATCTGCACGTGCATGATCTTGATTCTTAGTGCCTTCTCCTATGCCTGCGCCGCCCGCGAACTTAACCTGAAGTATATTATGTTGCAGGCTCCATGCCGTGTTGACAGTCCGGAACAATGCGCTGCTATAGCTGGTGAGTTTAGTGCATGTGTATGCATTGTTGGTTCTATTCTGAGGTACCGTGATTGTTATAGATCCTTTTCTAGTCAGAGTGAGACTGAGTTCTAGAAACTGCGTCGGTAGTCTACACGCAGTATCATAGAGCAGTGGCGAAGTAGAAAACATCGCTAGTAAAGAACCCATTCAGAAGAGGGAAAGCAAACTGAAAGTTCGGCCAGGAACTAAGTCATTTGGTTTGAAAAACTTATGAAGAACCTGGGATCAGTAACATATCGAAGACACAGCTGACAATAACGTTCTACGTGTAATTCTGCCTCGTCTCAGAATCAAATTTAAAGCTCGAATTACAAAGTGGGATATTAATCGCGGTTCCCATACCCGACCAACATTCAGCCGCTGCTGAACATGTGGAAACTGCCATCCAAACAGCGCTGCAGGAAATGAGGTAAATTTTGGCATCTTTTTGTGTAACGTTGTAAGGTTCTGAGCATGTAAGCATGAAAAGGGTCTCTCTATTTCAAGCACTCATAGGCAGGAGCGAATTGTCAGGTCCCTAGTGATGTAACGAGATTTTCTGTGCTTTTGTGAACTTAAATTTCAATTTGAGTTTTTTTTCTATTGCAGAGAGAAGAATGTTCAGGGAAATGCTGTGACACCATTCCTGTTGAAGCGTGTTAATGAGCTCACTGGTGGAGATTCCTTGGCCTCAAGTATCCTTTCTTGCATGCAAGTAGATCAGGTTCTTTTCATATCCTTATTTCCTATGTCATCAAGATGTGGTACTCTATCAGAGCATTGATGTACTTGAAGTCTGTAAGCTCAGTGCATTTGTGTTGCTTTTCTGGGTATATCGTGACAGCTGAGTGTTGCTTTATGATCCTTAATACTGACCCCAGATATTGAGCTAATTAAGAATAATGCGCGAGTCGGAGCGCAAATTTCAGTTGCACTACAGGAGAAAATGCGATGATTTGTGACAGCTGCGGTATTCTGGGGATCAAAGTGATGTAAATTGGAAATCACTGTCCATCAACAATCGGAGCCATCCCGTGTGAATCCGGAGCAACGATAAACTCTATTCACATCTCACATGATTTTCACTTTGACCATAATGATTAACGGTGATGTATCAATGTTATATATCAACTATGTTATTTGGCTGCCAGATCCAACCTTATAGATATGATAATTCAGTTGTAGGTAATGATCTCTTTTCAACAATCCTCTTCAATTATAGCTGCGAAATAGTCACATACATTACAATCACACTTATGAGGTTCTAGATCTTCATTAGTGGTTGAGATTTTCATTCGCCTTATCTTCACACCAGTAGAATATCTGAGAAAAGGATGTATATCTTTTACAGTTTTGTGTGGAATATGATGTAATTACCATTTTCTTGGGAGGCAACGTTCATAATTTTGCTGGAAAATATATGCATCTTTGCCATCCTTCAAGGATGTGTTTGCTAATAGAGATATACTTGAGATGTATGGGCGATATTGTTAAGATTATTGTAGGTACTATCACTACAATTTTGAGTACGATGATTTTAAATAACATATTTTAAATGGAGTTGTACATATATACCATTGCGATTCTACTGGTGACTACCTCATCCGATACACTTGCTTTTATCCATTTGGTATTCCAATCCACTCAGCCATATTTTTATTATCGAGGGACGGTACTTGATTAGATAGAGGTGACACTATTGTAGCGTTAGTGAAGGATTAATACAGGCCTTCTAAGATGTGGCATTCTATTCTTAGATGCCACATTTACACATTCTTAGGTTTGAGCAGCGCCGAAAAGAAAGAAGTGAGAATTTCCTATTCATATTTTTATTCAATGATATAAAAGCTGTTGTAAAATTTAAGAACTAGTAGATGCGATTATATCTGATATGTGAAATGACGACCGGGAGACATGAGAAAGAGACTTTTAATTTCTGCACCCAACATTTTCCCCGAGTTTTTGGACTTTCTTTCTCTTTTCCTTCTAAAAATTCCAAGTGTATATTACGCAAAATGCATGTTATGTGAAAGAATCAATTTTGATTGTTTTGGGTATTCTTTGTCTTTTTATTCATGTTTTTCCTATCCTATTGGTCAATTATTCTAATCAAGATATATTACAAATCACCAACACATCCCACACCATGTTGGGTAGTACTGTCAAAGTTCTAAAGCTAAAAGGTTTATCTGCGTGCAGAACTGAAAATACTTGGTTTGGGTTTGCTGCTAACTCTTGTCCTTTGTGGCATATTTCGTAAACACACATGAAAAAATGAATGATACAAGTGTCGTGATTTTAAATTCACATTAGAGGCACAAATTTGAGGTATTAGAGGCCCATGATTACTTAGCCCACAACCCTCTCACTCGGAACAAGATTTTGCCATGATTTCCAACTCAGTGTCTAAATGAAAGCAGACGCTCCGTGGCCCAGAAATGAAGTAGCAGTCTGTTTCAAACTCTGCAACTCGATATCAGATGACATTTGAATTCTAGTGCAGACCACAAAGGTCTAGACTGTGGATACGCTGAGGTCCGCAGTTCGGATGCGCTAGAATATCCATCTCAGTTGCCACTTGAGCACCGAGCTTGGAGTCCTTGAGAAAAAGCTCCAATCATGCACGAATGCACTCCTGTGAAAAGGTTCCGACGGGCGACAGCGAGACTTCGTCTGCATTCGTTCACACGGTGAGTTTCCTACTCCCAGGACTCGACTCTGAAGCTGTGGCCTCCCAATTCTGATATGCAGGACGGGAAATCTCTCTTGTCAGGAGTTCGGGGCATCTCGTGAAGCAGAGACAGCTTCAACCAGCTGGGGCTAGGTATCTGGCGATGGCTTCAACTTCGGAAGTCGAAAGCGGAATTACACAATGAATGTTGCGGTCTACTAGACGGAAACAAGCTCACATAACGTTCCTGAACAATGAGTGGACGACTCAGTGGATTGACTTGCAGGGAGATTCTGAAACAGAATTAAGAGTTCAAGGAGAGATGTCATGATTAGCACGACTTTTCAGGCCACTCTTTTTTTTGTATAGAGCTCCGTGTGCCCACGCAGCTCAGCACCTTCTGATTGACAAAATTCAGATTCCAGGCTCGACAATTTCGGACGAAGCTGTACATTATTCAATTTGAGCTTGTATATACTCGTTGACTCTTTCAGTCTAGATCAGGACGTTTGCTTCCACTTGCAGTACCTCGATATTCTGAAAAGGTGTCCGACGGCGGTATGATGGAACTCAACAACTGGAATCAGCTGATTCTATCTTTGGACTCAGATTCGTGAGGAAGTTTCTCCGAACAAGATTGCAAGTGCTCGCAATCTTTTCAGAATCGCCTCCAACCATGCTCGTAACTTTGCTTGAAGCTGTGCCCTTCGGCTTCTACTCATTCAGCAATAAGTTTATAACAACCCCGTTTGTCAACATCGATCTTGAGACATTGACCTCAAACCAGTCTGAAGACCCAGTACATGGTTTCCACCTAAGCAACATCACTATCTCATGCCTCTGATACTTTTGATGCAGCGTAACGAAGAGCCTGTCATCTGATGATATATCACTCCGTATGACTCACTACTTTCACGCTAAAACGTATGCAGCCAGGAAGAAGCTACTCATTAGTTAGAGCAGGCCTGGGAATTCCTATAGCCCACGAAATTAACTTAATTTATGGATTCTACTCATCTTAATTTTGGGATTTGTTAATAAATAGAGTTAATATATACGCTTTAACGTATGTATTATATTCATACGTACGTTAATTAAATACCTCACGTGTGAGTCTTGTATATTTACGAGAGAGTGATTTCTGTACCAAGAATATGTGACGATGACGTTATTAATTTATGGATGCGTTGAGGTTTAATTTTGGTTAATTTTGGGATTTTGTTAACAAATCCCAGAATCTAGCCATCCATTTGCATCTTCAGCAACATGATTAGTGGTGACACGTAAGCTTTTTCTCCCATCATGATGATTTTGTCTGAGACCACCAGATCCGTCACTGGTTTCATTTCCTACTCACTCTCTTCGACCTCTGGATTCCAAGTTGCTCCTCTGTCTGACAAGCCCGATCATTTCAATCGTCTCAAACAAGGGAAAGGTCTCGACGCACTCACAATGCAGGGAAGAAGACATCTTCCAACGAGTGGGTTACATGTCGAGAAACATCTTCATCGTTAAGTCCTAATTCGGCTTGAAGCTATTCGCTGGAGAATTCAGCACTCCTGATGGACAGTAACGACAACCCGACCCGACCCGGAGATCGGATCTAAGGTACGCCAGCTTAGAATGCAAGATAATCAAGTGAAGGATGATGACATGAAGATTTGATGACATCATTTGAGATGCGTAATATCATCAGTCATCAATATTATATTCTCTACCGAGCCTGTTGCTTTAGAATGTCTAATTGAAAGAGCACAGCGCTGAATCACCCTCGCGTGTTTGACGGTCCATCTGTTTATTCCAACAACAACCAGAGCACCATTCTGGCCTGAAATTGCATGGCAGTTTTGTCAAGTTGCCAAAAGCTAGATTGAAGAGAATAAGTCTGAAATCAGCTCCTGCATACCGACTTTCGAGAAATCTAGGCTGAGTTGGAGTTCGCTCGGACGCTCGTAACGCAGTGCGTCTCATTTTCACCTTCTTTTATCACAATTACGTTTCAATTTTGGACTAGAGGTTCCTTCCTTCCAGATCCTGAATGCTGATGCATCTGAAATGACCATCCGGGACACTTTGACTGGACGACGAAAGGTTCACGGACCATGAAGGTCATCCCTACTCATTTAGATGGTGACTTCTTAAGGCGACTGATGTAGAATGCGACAATCGCTGTGCTGCGGCTTTATATTATTGAAGCTGAGAGACTTTTGAGAGACTTCTGAGAAATTGCAAAGCAGTATTATTCGTGTCCTCGAGATGTAATTTGTAATGTGTGCCATACTCTCTGTATAGGGGTGTACATACAACATCGCGTGTGAGCTCCAGGGGCTTATTTTTAAGGTGAGAAAACCCTGTCAAACGGGACTGCTTAATAAATCAAGCAAGCATAAGTCGTTGTGAGCATATACCGGCCTAAGCCTCGCCCCGCATTTGAGAATCTCAGATGCTCAAATCTGTGGCGACAGCCGTCCACACGTCAATATTCGCTAGGGAAGATAAATGGTTACTGGGTTTGCTGATCTCGACATTACGACACAAGCAGCCTTTTCTGGAACTTGCACGCAACTGAAAGAGCTCAATCGAAAGTACGCGGAGCAAAGGTTGTATGAAGAAAGATGAACGTGCACAAGCATCCGAAACCTTGGTAGGCATCGTGCATCAGAAAGTGATTGCAAAGACACACATATTCGTCGGATGTATCACTCGACAAGGAAGTGCGGTGACACTCTCTGGAGCTCTTTCTCTCTGCACAATAAGCAACAAGCGGTTGATCTTAGTCAGCAAACTGAATCCGATAAGTCTCGAACTACTTTTGGGTAGACTCAGCTGACTGCTGTCCGACATGACACGACCAGGGTCCTAAAATTTGTATTTTAGGACCACTAAATCTGATACTGGGAGTCCTCATCAGTGTTAATCATGTAGTCCAAATGGCGTCCGACTGTCAGTTTTGGCTTGTTTCAGCCCGAGAACAACATGTCGAAGGCGGCTATCGTAATCCTCAAGCTAGCATTGGACCAGACTGGTATCCACCTCCACCTTGTATGTAGGCAACGCACGACCAATCTTTTCTGAATCCAGGAAAGGAGATTTGAAGGAGTGGGCATGTGAGGCAGCTCGAACCTCAACTACCAGAGGCTCGGCCCCATGGACCTGATGCAGTTTAGTGAGCACGTGCCATATCAAGGTCTCAGCACACTTTTCGCCCTGGAGGACCATGTAGTCGAGGTTCTGGGTATCACTGTCCAGATGCCCTTGGAATATCACATGCACCAACATTGTCAACAAAAGGACTATATCTGGTCAACGTTGCTGAGATTTAGGTGAAGTAACAGAATGAGGACAAGGGAGTACGCCGTCAATGAGATGGACCAAATATCGGAGAAACATTATTCGATTCCTGTTATCTAGTTAGACTTTCTCACCACGTGACACATCACTCGGTCTCCTTCGCGCGAAGGCATGCAAAGCAGCCCAAATCATAAAAAAGTGCAACAACCCGATTGGAAACTGATTATTCAATCCTGAGATCTCGCCTAGTTCAATAGATTCATGAATTTCAATAGCTGTAGCACGATTCTCGTAGAAACTTTTGATTATTATATTTATACCTCGAGTAACCCCATTCCAGAGTTCCATGCCTTAGACAGCAAGAGCACAGAGATGTAGCTCCAACAAGGGAGCCCAACCGAGATCTCCTCCCACGAAAGCTAATCATCATTTTCATCAGAAAAAGTACAT